CTGGGTTACTCCCGGTACCTCGGGCAACAAGGCACCATAATGAAAGGATCAGGCGCATGAACGATTGGCTGGAGAAATGGTCCAGAAAATAAGGGTTCCGTTTTGTGGACATTTGGGACCACTACTGGGGGAGGTGGGATCTTTACCTTGCGGATGGGTGGCACTTAAGCAAGACAGGGGTGAGCTTCCTTGCCAAGAGATTATCAAATGCTGTAGGGGCGGATTTAAACTGGTGTCGAGGGGGGAATGGGTATCCAAGGATAAACAATGGATTAGAGATTAGAGGAAAAATACAAGTGGGAAGTGTAGAGCAGGTACAAGCGGACAATTTCCTCAAATGCACGTACCTAAATGCACGTAGCTTAGGGAATAAGGTTGATGAGCTGCAGGTTCAACTGGCCGTAGCGGGTTACGATGTGGTGGCAGTAACTGAGACATGGCTCAAGCCAGGACAGGAATGGGAGTTAAATATTCCAGGATATAATGTGTTCAGGAAGGATAGAGAAGGAAGAAAAGGAGGAGGGGTGGCAATATTAGTAAAGGATAAAATTAGAACTGTAGAAAGGAACGAGGCTCTGGAGGGCCCATCAATAGAATCCATCTGGTTAGAGATAAGAAATAAGAAATACTGATAGGGGTTTACTATAGACCACCAGACAGCGGGAAGGAGATAGAGGAGCAGATCTGCAATCAGATCGCGGATAGATGTAAGGCGAACAGAGTTGTGATAACGGGGGATTTCAATTATCCCAATAGAGACTGGCAAAATAGCAGCGCTAAGGGCAAGGCAGGAGAAAGATTCATAGACTGTGTACAGGAAAATTTTCTTGAGCAGTATGTCTCCAGTCCTACAAGGAAGGAAGCATTGCTGGATCTAGTCCTGGGGAATGAAATAGGTCAGGTTGAACAGGTTTCAGTAGGGGAGCATCAAGGTAACAGTGACCATAATATTATTAGATTTAGATTACTCATGAACAGGGACAAAGTACAGTCGAGGGTGAAAATACTTGACTGGAAAAGGGCTAATTTTGATGGGCTAAAAAGGGACCTAGATTTGGTGGACTGGCAAGTAAGACTAGCAGGTAAAATAACTCATGAGCAATGGGAGATCTTCAAAGATATGATAGCTCAAGGTCTAAATAGATATATTCCCACAAAAGGGAAATGTGCGACAACCAAGCCAGCCTGGATGGCCAAGGATATTCTGTCTAGGATGAAAAAGAAGAAGACGGCGTACAACAATTGGAAGACGCAAGATACTGAGGAGAGCAAAGCGCATTATAGAGAATGCAGGAGTGATCATAAAAGAGTGATAAGACAGGCTAAAAGATCGCATGAGAAGAGGTTAGCGGGTAACATAAAGGGGAATCCTAAAATATTTTACAAGCACATAAAGGAAAAAAGGTTAGTTAAAGGTAGGGTGGGGCCAATCAAGGGTAATGACGGCAATCTTGTTGTGGAGGCAGAGGCTGTGGCTGATGTACTGAACGAGTACTTTGCATCTGTCTTCACAACGGAAATGGATGCCCCAAATGCCGCAGTATTGGATGAGAGGGCAGAGGAAATAAATCAGATTACTATAGACAGAGAGGAAGTTCTGAAAAGATTGACTGGCCTCAAAATTGATAAGTCACCAGGACCAGGTGGGTTTCACCCAAGGTTGCTGTGGGAGATACGGGTTCAAATAGCGGAGGCTTTGGCCATTATATTTCAATCTTCATTGGACACAGGAGTGGTGCCAAGAGACTGGAGAGTGGCTAATGTTACCCCACTCTACAAAAAGGGGCAGAAAGACAAGCCCGGAAATTACAGGCCAGTCCGCCTACCTTCAGTAATAGGAAAACTACTGGAGACCATAATCCGGGACAGAATAAATCTCTACTTAAGGAACATGAGGTAATTAGAGACAGCCAACATGGATTGTTAAAGGCAAATCTTGCCTAACAAATCCAACAGAATTTTTTGAAGAGGTGACTGCGAGGGTTGATGAGGGAAATGCGGTGGACGTTATTTACATGGATTTCAAAAAGGCTTTTGACACAGTACCGCAAAAGAGATTAATACAAAAATTAGAGGCCCACGGTATTAAGGGGACAGTGGAAGTTTGGATTAAGAACTGGCTGAGTGACAGAAAGCAGAGGGTGGTGGTTAATGGGTGTTTCTCAAAATGGAAGGAGGTGTGCAGCGGTGTCCCCAGGGATCGGTATTGGGACCACTGTTCTTTCTAATATATATTAATGATCTGGACTTGGGCATAGAGAGCACTATTTCCAAGTTTGCAGATGATACAAAGTTAGGTAGGGTAGTAAATAGTGAGGAGGACTGTAACCAACTGCAAGCAGACATACACAGAATGGTGGAATGGGCTGACATTTGGCAGATGGGTTTCAATGTGGATAAGTGTGAAGTGATACACTTAGGGAGGAAAAATGATAGGAGGCAATATAGACTTGGTAGCTCAATCTTAAGGGGGTGAACGTACAAAGAGATCTGGGTGTTCAAGTAAGTGAATCATTAAAGGTAGCGGGGCAGGTAGATAAGGCAGTAAAAAAGGCATTTGGTGTACTGAGCTTTATTAGTAGGGGCATAGAGTATAAGAGTAAGGGTTATGGTTAGTCTATACAAAACACTGGTTAGGCCTCAGCTGGAATACTGCGTCCAGTTCTGGGCACCTTACCTCAGGAAGGATATTAGAGAATGATACGACAATGATACCAGGAATGGGGAACCTTAGCTATGAGGACAGGCTGGAGAAGTTAGGACTTTTCCCATTAGAGCAGAGAAGGTTACGCAGAGACCTGATAGAGGTCTTCAAGATCATGAAAGGTTTCGACAGGCAAGATAGGGAAAAGCTGTTTCCGCTGGTAGGTGTGTCTGTGACTCGTGGTCACAGTCTTAAGATATCTACCAAAAGAAGCAGAGGGGAGGTTAGAAGAAATTCTTTTCACTCAGCGAGTTGTTCAAATTTGGAATGATCTGCCCGAAAGGGCAGTGAAGTCCAATTCGATAACAGCTTTTAAGGGAGAACTGGATAGGTATCTGGGGAAGGCAGGTTTGCAGGGTTATGGGGAGAACGCTGGTGATTGGAGTTAGTGAAAGTGACTTACTCTGTCAAAGAGCCGCACAGACTCGATGGGTCGAATGGCCTCCTTTTGCGCCGTAACATTCTATGAATCTATGAATTCACTTCTGTGGAGCGCTTTGAGACGTCTAGAAGACGTGATAAGGCACTATATCAAATGCAAGGATTATTATTAGCTGTCAGAGCTGGATGTTTACGAAGGATATTTCAGGAATCTATACTCGTGTGAAGGATCTCTATTGCTTCTCTAAATTGGGTTAGATTGCAGACATGAATTCTTTTCATTCCAGCCTGTGATACTAACTTAAATTAGAAATGAAGAGTTTATTTTAAAATGATCTCAGTTCATATTACCAGTGACAGGTTCAACACAAGTATATGGCCTGCATTAATATTTTTATTCATCTTTACCAAATTGTTTATGCTGAACACACTTGTGGTATCTCCATTATTAAAATAGGTTCGCCAGCTCAATACACTTGCTGATCAAAGTATGAGCATTTGATGGGAGAATCTGCCTCCCATTGGAATCAATTATTTCTGATAAATCATTCTTTTCCACAGAAGTTCATTGGAGTTGTGGCATAAATCAGGGTGGTTCAACCTTTTAACTGCTGAGGACCAGATGCCCTATTTGAGTAAAGTCCCTGGGCCGCAGAAGCAATATTTTTTATGTTTCCCTCCCATAGACATTGCATTTAAGGGTTATGGAGGGAAAGGGTGGCACAGATGAAATGGAGGGAAGGAGTGGCCGCATCCAGCCATTGGCCGCCAGTTGGACCACCATAAATCAACTGAAGCTAAACCATTTTAAGGAGTGATGTGTTATTAAACAGCTGATAATTATCACATCACCCAAAACGCAGTCAAATAACTCAATAGGTATCATTGACCTTTGGAGGGTTAACAGAGCTAGTGATAAATACTGACCACTTTTGATTCCATTGCTTTAGTTGAACTGGTAATCATTGCTTGCGATAATATCAAATGCTGCATTTTTCTCCCCAATGACTGGAATTCTAATTTCAAATTTCACTTCGTCCGGAGTGAGGCAAGGCCAGAATGTGAGGGAATTTGGTGAGAGTGGGAATTGCTGCTGTGAGTGTCATGAAAACTGCTATCATGAGTACATAACCCAATTTGTTGTTGTTATTCAAGTCTTGTAGTAGTTGTTGTGGTTGTTTTAAGTCTTGTGTTATTTAAAATTGCTGATTACATTGGTCTTGTGGGGTAACTTTACAGGGAGCAGCTGTAGCCAATTAAGCCGAACCAATAACAAATAACTTATTGATTAAATTAACTTATTGATTAATCACTTGTTTAGGTGTTAATTCCGAATCACTGCTGAGCAAATCAGAAATGGGTTGCACCCAGAAAGTATAAATAGGAGATAGCTGCGAGAGCCTCACTTGAGCTGAGAGCGAGCTACGTCTGGAGTGAGGCCAGAGTGTGAGGGAATTTGGTGAGAGTGGGAATTGCTGCTGTGAGTGTCGTGAAAACTGCTATCGTGAGTACATAACCCAATTTGTTGTTGTTGTTATTCAAGTCTTGTAGTAGTTGTTGTAGTTGTTTTAAGTCTTGTGTTATTTAAAATTGCTGATACCATTGGTACATTGGTCTTGTGGGGTAACTTTACAGGGAGCAGCTGTAGCCAATTAAGCCGAACCAATAACAAATAACTTATTGATTAAATTAACTTATTGATTAATCACTTGTTTAGGTGTTAATTCCAAATCACTGCTGAGCAAATCAGAAATGGGTTGCACCCAGAAAGTATAAATAGGAGATAGCTGCGAGAGCCTCACTCGAGCTGAGAGCGAGTTATGTCTGGAGTGAGGTCAGAGTGTGAGGGAATTAGGTGCAGAGGGGGAAGTGGGGGCAGGCTATATATCTTTGTATCTATATAAAGTTTGTGAAGATGGTGTGGCAGGTAAACTGTGAGGTCTGTCACATGTGGGAGTCAATGGAGGGCGCCTTAAGTCCGGGCGACTTCGTCTGCCGCAAGTGTCTGGAAATCAGAGAGCTCCAGCTGAGAGTAGCTGAGCTGGAGTCTCAGGTGGAGATGCTGCGCAGCATTAGGGATGGAGAAAACTTCCTGGACAGCTTTATCCTGGAGCCGCACACTCCCCTGAGTCCCAAGGAAGAAGAATATAGCAGCGACGGACATGACTGGGTGACAGTCAGGCGGGCAGGCAAGTGTTCCCGAAAGAGAGGGGCTGAAGAATCCCAGACTTTAGCCTTGTCTGACAGGTAAGAAATATTGGCAACCTATGTGGACAAGGAAATCTGCGAGGAAGACGGGCAAACTGACCCCAACACCCCTGTGCAGGAGGTTAAAAATGTAATTCTTTTTGGGGATGAGACAGTCGGGAGGACTGATTTTCTGTAGTCGTAGCAGGGAGACAAGAAGACTGTTGTCTTCCTGGGGCCAGGGTGAAGGATGTCACCGCCGGGCTGGAGATAAATTTGAGGCATGAGGGAGAGGATTCAATCGTAATGGTACATTTAGGGACCAATGACATTGGTAGGACCAGTAGGGACGAGTTAAGGAGTGAGTTCCGGGAATTGGGAATTAAACTAAGCAATAGAACTTCCAAAGTGATGATATCGGGACTGTTACCTGAGCCAGGAGCTAATTGGTACAGGCAAAAGAAGATCATAGATCTGAATGCCGGGCTAAAAGAGTGGTGCGGAGAGCAGGAATTCCAATTCATGGGCCACTGGCACGAGTATTGGGGAAGATGGGAGCTTTTCCAAAGGAATGGGCTCCACCTAAATAGGGCTGGGACAAATGTCCTGGCTACGCGAATAAATAGGGAGGTAGAAAGGGCTTTAAACTACTAAGGGGGGGGGAGGTAAAAACATAGTAAAGTATAGTCCACCACAGTTAAACTTGAGATCAACAAAAGCAAGAGAGCAGATTAACAAGGGAGAAGAGCAAAGTGTGTCAAGCCGGGAAAGGAAGTACAGTGATAGAGTGCTGGTGAATAGGGTTAATAGCCGGAAGTCAGAATTAAGGCGCTATATCTGAATGCACGAAGCATTCGTAACAAGATAGATGAATTAGTTGCACAAATAGAGACAAACCGGTATGATCTAGTAGCCATCACCGAGACATGGTTACAGGGTGATCAGGGATGGGAACTGAATATTCCCGGCTACGTGGTATATAGGAAAGATAGGCGATGTGGTAAACGAGGAGGGGGAGTGGCCCTGCTAATAAAGGATGGGATAAAAACAGTAGAGAGGAAAGATTTTAAATCTGAAAAGCAAGATGTAGAGTCAGTATGGGTAGAGATACGTAACTTCAAGGGGCAGAAAACTATAGTGGGAGTAGTTTATAGACCCCCAAACAGTGGTCAAAGTATCGCTCAAGGTATAAATCAAGAGATTAGTGGAGCATGTAGCAAAGGAAAGACACTAATTGTGGGTGATTTTAACCTGCACATAGACTGGGACAACCAAATTGGGAAAGGTAACATAGAAGAGGAGTTTATAGAATGTATTAGAGATAATTTTCTAGATCAATATGCTGAGGAGCCGACCAGGGAACAAGCCATATTAGACCTTGTTTTGTGTAATGAAACAGGGCTGATCAGCAAACTGGAACTTAAGGCTCCTCGAGGGCAAAGCGATCATAATATGATGGAATTTAGCGTTAAGTTAGAGAGGGAAGTAGTTAAGTCTGAAGCAAAAGTCTTCAATTTAAATCGAGCCAACTTTGCTGGTATGAGAGAGGATTTAGCCAGAATAAACTGGGAGACTAAACTTAAAGATTTGACGGTAGACCAGCAATGGCAGACATTCAAGGAGATAGTGCAAAATTCCCAACGAGCACATATTCCTTTGAGGAATAAGAATGCCATGGGAAAGGTGGTGCAGCCATGGCTAACTAGAGCAGTTAGGGAAAGTATCAAATCAAAAGAAAAAGCCTATAAAACAGCGAAGATGAGTAGTAAACCCGAGGATTGGGAGAACTTTAGGGAACAACAGAGGAGGACCAAAAAATTGATCAAGAGGGAGAAAATAGATTACGAGGGCAAACTAGCAAAGAACATAAAAACAGACTCCAAGAGTTTTTACAAATATATAAAGAGGAAAAGGCTAGCGAGGGTGAATGTGGGTCCATTACAGGCAGAGACCGGAGGAATTATAATAGGGGACAAAGACATGGCAGAGTCATTAAACAAGTATTTTTCTACAGTCTTCACCGTAGAAGACACTGGAAACATACCAAAAATAGAGGACCAAGAAGACAATGTTAGCGAGCAACTTAGGGAGATTAACATTAGTAAAGAGATGGTTCAAGGTAAATTGTTGGGTCTTAAAACCGATAAATCCCCTGGACCGGATGGCCTGCATCCGAGAGTTTTAAAGGAGGTGGCTACTGAGATAGTGGATGGCATGTCTATAATCTTCCAAAAGTCTGTGGATACTGGAAAAGTTCCCATTGATTGGAAGATTGCAAACGTAACTCCACTATTTAAGAAGGGTGGGAGAGAAAATAGGGAAAACTATAGACCAGTTAGTTTGACGTCAGTTGTAGGGAAAATTCTTGAGTCCTTAATAAAAGACGTAGTTATGGGATACCTGGAAGACCATAAAAAGATTAGGCAGAGTCAACATGGCTTTACAAAAGGGAAGTCATGCTTGACTAACCTTTTAGAATTTTTTGAGGATGTATCTAGCAGGTTGGATAAGGGGGAACCAGTAGATGTGGTATATTTGGATTTTAGGAAGGCATTTGACAAGGTGCCACACAAAAGGCTGTTACTCAAGATCAAGGCCCACGGGATTAATGGGAAAATATTAACATGGATAGAAGAGTGGCTATCGGGTAGAAAGCAGAGAGTAGTGATAAACGGATCATTCTCGAATTGGCAGAATGTAACTAGTGGAGTGCCACAAGGATCAGTGCTTCGCCCTCAGCTATTTACCATTTACATCAATGATCTGGACGAGGACGTTGAATGTAATGTGTCTAAATTCGCGGATGATACTAAACTTGGTAGCAGAGTGAGCTCTCAGGATGATGCAAAAAGATTGTGACAAGATATAGATAGGCTCGGGGAGTGGGCGAGTAGGTGGCAGATGGAATTCAATGTTAGCAAGTGTGAAATTATTCACCTTGGTAGCAAGAATAAAAGAACAGATTATTTTCTGGAAGGGGAGAAGTTAGATAGAGTTAGTATTCAAAGGGATTTGGGTGTCCTTGTACACCAGTCCCAAAAAGTTAGTTTGCAGGTGCAGCAGCAACTAAGAAGGCGAACGTTAGCGTTCATCTCGAAAGGTTTAGAATATGAGTAGGGAAGTCTTGCTGCAACTGTATAGGGCTTTGGTGAGACCGCACCGAGAGTGTTGTGTGCAGTTTTGGTCCTTATTTAAAAAAGGACAGACTTGCCCTGGAGGGGGTGCAGCGTAGATTCACTCGGTTAGTTCCTGGGATGAGGGGACTGACCTATGAGGAGAGGCTGAATAAACTGGGGCTGTATTCTCTGGAGTGCAGAAGAATTAGGGGAGATCTTATTGAAACTTATAAGATTCTTAAAGGGCTGATAAAGTAGACACTGAGGGTCTGTTTCCCCGGGAGGAGAATCTATAACCAGGGGTCACAGTCTTAAAATTAAGGGTCAGCCTCTTAAAACAGAGTTGAGGAAACATTTCTTCACTCAGAGGGTAGTGAACTTATGGAATTCACTGCCCCAGAAGGCTGTAGATCTCAGTCCTTGAACATTTTCAAGGCTGAGACTGTAGATTCTTGAAAAATAGAGGGATTAGGGGATATGGGGATAGATAGGGCAGGTAATCAGAGTTAGGTGAGAAGATCAGCCATGATCTTATTGAATGGCGGAGCAGGCACGAAGGGCCAAACGGCCTGTTCCTAATTCTTATGTTCTTATGTTCTTAAATTGTCAGGTCAATCTGCTATCACAAGAGCCACAAGATGATGGCTCAATTTTGCATTTAGTTCCTTGGCCCCCAATCCATTCTGTTCTCTCCTGGATTTATAGTTGCCATTTATGGTTGCCATCATTCAACATTCACTGAAAAGCTAGTGTAGCCAGCCATTATCTCCAACATCAATGCTACAGTCTGTGGAGTCCTGTAGTGTAGATCAATCACCTCACAAGCGAGAGACCTGGGTTCGATTCCCGGGCAGGGTGAAATGTTGGGCAAGTTTCCTTACTTCACATGCCTCTGTCTTACAAGCTATAATGGGAACCCAGTTATTAGTTGATTGGCGGCTCGCTTTTCCGGGGGTAATAACCCCTTCAAAAAAATTAATGAAAAAAAAATTTGGTCACTCAGTCCATGACTGTTTGCGGGACACTGCTGTGTGCAATTGGCTGCCGCATTTCGCCTACAACATATGCAGTCAATTCACTTGACAGTATGTTTGTTCTGTGAAGCGCATTGAGGCGTCTCAAAGATGTGACAAAGTGCTATATCCAATACAAGGATTATTATTACATCTCAATTGGTTAAGAAGATGAGGTATTTTTACCAGGATATCAAAAAGGGCTAAGGTCAGAAGCTCGGAACAGCAAGATGGAAAGAGTAGGAGAGAAGATTCAATAATTCAAAAAGTAACACTAAATTTAGCTTTTAAAAGACTGTAGATGGGAAAGGAAAGACCCAAGAAGTCAAGGAGTTCACACTGTTAAAAGATTATGGGAAAGAGTTAAAGGTGGTGAAATGAGTATTATTTCAACACAGTGAAAGAATAGCTTGATGCTGCAATGGAAAGATGTTAAGGTAGGTATTCTGGAAGAATGAGATAAGATCAAACGTATGAAACAGGCTACCTAGGGGAGCTCCCAGAAAGTGTCAATTCATTCAAGCACAAATTAGATAGATTTCTGTTAGAAAATAATATCTCAGGATACAATATATAGTTTAAGACACGACATGTCATGTGACTGGAGTGGTGGAAGGCGAACTAGATGGACCTTGGGCTTCTTTCGCCGAGCAAATTCTTAGGTTCTTAACATATAGCAGGCTCAGTGAGGAAATGACTGAACCCAAAATAGCTCAAACTAGGCAGAAATTGTGAATTGGGCCCAAGGTACAAATAATTCAGTAGCTTAAGGGTTAATATCTATTTAACAGAACACATTTTGATATCTAATTTACAGCATCACAAAGTTCAAGTGAAAAAAAATCTGCCTTTTCTTTGATTAACCTTATCTTTGAACAATCAATGAAATGAGGTGGAAACTATGAGAAAGCCTAAATAGCCCTTCCCAGAA